CAAAATCTGGATCGGCTGAGCTGAGCCTCCAGCAGTTTACTCACTGCCGTTCACCCCTATTCTCATAGGTACCGAACGGCAGTGAGTGAATAGCCAAATGCTGCTGAGTGGCATTCGGCTCAGCTATTCTGCTCACTACCTGCGAGGTAGCGAGCAGAATAAAAAAAAATGTAAACAAAAGTGTAACGCAGATCAGAATTATTAGCTTTGAAATAATAGGATTTTGGTACTCACCGTAAAATACTTTTCTCTCCGTTCATTGAAGGAGACAGGGAACAGATCGGAGATCATGTACTGTAGGGTAATATCGCCACCTGCAGGAGAAGGACGCTAGGCACAAAACTAAAGACCAATTACAGCCTAGGGGCGGCCCCTGCCGGTGGCCAAACCCCCCACCTGCTGACAAGTCTCCAGTTTAGTAACAAGCAGTAAAGGAGTACACACCCACATAGAGGGGCGGGCCCTGTGTCCTTCAATGAACGGAGAGAAAAGGATTTTACGGTGAGTACCAAAATCCTATTTTCTCTCCCGTTCATTGAAGGACACAGGGAACAGATCGGAGATCATGTACTGTAGGGACGTCACAGAGTAGTACCAAAAAAGAGGGGTGGGCCAACAGAAACAACAAACCCAACTAAACAAGGAAGGCAGGACAATGTCCTCATTGAGATGGAAAGCCGAAACTACCTTCGGCAAGAAAGACGGCTGAGGCCGCAGAACCACCTTGTCCCGATTCAGGACCACCTACGGGGACGAGATTCCTGCAACACTGAGAGCACCAGATTCAAATCCCACGGCGGCAACGGGGAGCGAACAGGGGGAACGATACGTGTGACCCCCTGCACAAAAGTGCGAACGAAGGCGTTGGAAGCTATCGGCCGTTGAAAAAGGACAGCCAAGGCCGAAATCTGGCCCTTGATCGTACTCAAGGCCAAACCCTGATCCACACCCCGCTGTAAAAAGGCGAGGATCCTGGCAACGGAAAACAAACGAGGCGGAAATCCCACCGACTCACACCAGGCGAAATAAGCCTTCCACGTTCGATGGAATCCACCACTAACCAAACCACATCTGCGTACCACGCCCTCCTCGGCCAATCCGGAGCCACGAGGATGACCGGGAGGCCTTCCACCGCGACCCTGTGAAGAAGACGCGGCAACAGATACAGTGGAGGGAACGCGTAAATCAGACTGTAGCAATCCCACGGCGCCACCAGGGCGTCCACCGCATCCGCCCAAGGATCCTGGGTCCTGGCCACGAACCGATCGACCCGCCGATTGAGGCGAGACGCCAGGAGATCCACGTCCGGGAACCCCCAGCGAAGGCAGAGCTGGTGAAACACCTCCGGATGTAGCATCCATTCTCCCGGGTCCACTGACTGGCGACTGAGATAGTCGGCCTGCCAATTGTCCACGCCCGGAATGTAGTGGGCGGCCTGGGAGGGAGGCGGCCTGTGGACCTTCCCGCCCTTCTCAGAGGGCGGAGGCGGACGAAAAAGCCGCTTGTGAGCGGAAAAAGAAGGACCAGGGGGAGGAGGGGGAAGGAGAGGAGGAAGGGCAGGAACCAAGGAATCCAGGCACACGCCAGCAGACCCCCCATCCCATACATACCCCAGGAGGATGCGGGCCATCCGCAGACCAGGCACCCCCCCAATTACCCTACAGTACATGATCTCCGATCTGTTCCCTGTGTCCTTCAATGAACGGGAGAGAAATTAGATGTGTTTGGAAACAACCTCTGAGAACATTTGTTCAAAAGGCCTCATGTTAATCAGTAAGCTACATAATTGATCCATAAATTCCTGTGCCCATGCAGGGGATCTGGAGATGAGGCTCCTCTCAGAAGGAAGCTCAGGATGTATTGTATCCTGCACCAGGACAAAGTCAGACACCTCGGCAACAGCCGTCTGGGGCTTACATCTCTGAGTACTGAACTCCAGGTACAAGATATTTACAGCCTTGTGCTCAGAGAAAGGAGTCAGAGTGTCCTGAGTTTTAGTTCTGTGATAGAGAGACTCATGGCTGGAGGGTCTCATAGAAAAAAGACTAGAAGAAAATGAGGGCTGCTGGGACATCTAGCTCTGGATATGTGTTCCCTGATTGGGGACTACTGGGACTTGTAGTGCCCTACTGGCTGTGAACTGTTGTTCCACTGAAATACTGAAGAGGCTCGACAGACCACCTCCTGCCTTACCATCCCATGGGGATCCTTCTTTTGCAGAGTGACCTGGTTGTTGTTACCCCTTTGCTGTGCCTTGTTGCCGTTAACCGTTGCTGTGCCTGGATTACCGCCTTGTGTCCCTGGACTCCGCCTGGATTGCTTGCCTTGTGTCCCTGGACTCTTAACTGTCCTGAGCCCTGTTGCTGTTACCTTTGTTGTGCAAGGATTACTGTGCTGTGCCCCTGAACTCCAGCCTTGCTGTGCCCTGCTGCTGTTATCCTTTGCCTTGTCCGGATTCCTGCTTTGAGCCCCTAGACTCTGCCCATGCTGTTTAAGCCCTTTGTTTTGCCCAGATTGCTACTACACTTGCAGTATCCTAATGTTGAGAACACCTAATAAAAAAAACCCTGGTCAAGGGTTCTAAAAACCACTCTTGGTCTCCGTGTGTGCTCTGTTTCTCCCGCATCCTCCATCACAAAAAGAAAAAAAAAGATACAATATATTTAAAAAAAAAACTTTTTTAAGAAAATACATTTTTAAAAATGTAAAGAAAAGAAAAGAAAAAAACATTGTAGGGTCCCCCTCCCAAACCAGACCCTTTAGGTCTGATAGGAAAGTTAGGAGGGACCACAAGTTGAAACAAAATGTGTGGGGTTCCCCTTAAAGTCATACCAGGCTTTTTAGGTCAGGTAGACATTTTAAAGAAGAACCCCACCCCCAAAAATTGGGGGGAAAGTGGGATTCCCTAAAATTCCCAACCAGACCCTTGATCCGTGCACAGGCCTGGCAGGGAAGGAAAGGGGGAGGGGACGAGCGAGTGGCCACATGCCCTCGGAACTGGGAGGGTGCTTTTCCAGGGTCGCCCCTAGAATTGCACCTTGCCGCCGTGTTGATGGGGACAAGGGCCTCTTCCCACAAGCCCTGGGGCGTTGTGGGGGTCTGCAGGCAACAAGGGCTTATTTGCATTGGGGTACCTGTTTAATAAAGGGGCACCCAGATGCACCCCCCCTCCTTGTGAAGGAGTAAGGGGTATTTGTACCCCTACCCATTCACTAAAGGGTTGAATAAAATGTAAATAAAGAGGAAAAAAATTTAATTGAAAAAAAAAAAACACTACAAAAAGCTTTGACAATTCCTTTATTAACCTCCTTGGCGGTATGATTATGGAGGATTTTAGCATCCAAAAGCGGTACATTGTTTTTCATGGAAATTTGTTGTTTAAGTCAGGCGAGGCACTGGACAAAGCTCTAGGGACAAAATTGAAGTGAAATAGTTTGATACATAAGTGTAATCATAGGAGATTACATTGTATTGTGTGTATTCTATGTACATTACAACTTTTCACTTTTGAATTTCCCGCCGGCTGTGACGCCCGAAAACTAAACTAAAAGTTAGATGCCGGCATCTGACTTTTAGTTTTCGTTTTCGGGCCGCGAACAGCAGAGGACGCCGCAGGCTCGCAGGGACAAGGTGAGTGTCGCTTTTCTGTGCATTCCCGAGTCTGGCTCGGGGTTACCGCTCCTGGTATTGAAAGCAGACTCGGGAATACCGCCAGGGAGGTTAATTAAAAAAATCCCAAAAATTGATTCTATGACGTAATCCAGGGTCAATCATGACGTCCAGCGTTGTTCACAACGACAGCCCGACCGGATGCAACAAACTCCCGCAGAATTAAGAATCTGACAGATGCCGGCAAAATATAAACCATTGGGAGGAGCTAGCAGTGACATCACTGCCAGCTCCGCCGAACTGTTTACATTTGGCTGGTACCTGCCAGAGTCTTACCGCAGGTCCCGGACAAATGAAAACAACTGGGCGGAGACGGCCATGACATCATGGTTGGCTCCGCCCAGTTGTTGTCATTTGCTGGGAAAACGTTCTGCTTCGGCAGATCGTTCTGCCCGCTTAGGCTTTGACTACAGCTCAGGCGAGCCAGAGCACATGTGCTTGCGGCAGCTGAGCCGTTCGCCTGCTGTATGGGTTATTGTTAATAGCCTGCATAGCTGCCCTTCGGTTCGACTGAATCGAAGGGCTCCAGCAGCCGAAATAAGCTGGAGGATCAGCACAGCTATGGCTATATCCTTCCAACACCTTCATAGATAACACTCTAGATTTTTATTGGCTGAAACAAAAATGCTCAAGCTAAAAATAGGTGCAAAACCCAAAAGCTTCAAAACTGCCTCAAAGTTCACGCTCAAATATGAATTGGGGCTGCGCTTGAATTTGCTTTTATCCATAACCCAGCAACCTTTTTATGTTTTACTACAACTCCCATTCCTTATATTCATGTATTATTCAACAAAATTACCAGTATTCATTTTGCGGTAGGCCTTTTCTCCATCCCCAAAGACTAAAATAAAATGGCGTCCACGCCAAACAGCTACACCCCCTCCAAACAATCCCAACCATAACAACAAAACTCCGTTAAACAGCAACAATTCATTTCCTCGTCCTTCACGCCAAACCTTCACTCCTCCCCGCCAGCCCACAGAGGAGCCCTGAGGGCCGCTTTGCATCACGGGAAGTGTAGTCTGAATCTTCGCCGTGTCCGCCTCGTTTGCTACTACAGCGCAAACCCGCATTCTACTACAACTCCCGGAGAGCCTTGCGTGGGAGGACGGGTCACCTGACCGGCGGCTGAGCAAGAAGCTAAAAAGCCGCAACTTGGCCATTTTGTTTTACACTGTAAACGAGCAGGCTAAGGCTCCTGTAGGCCTGGTGGAAGTTGGTATAGGAGGCCAACGGTTCGGTGTTTTCTGCTCAGGTGACACAGCGGAGATCTCCCGTGCGCTCCTCACATCCGGGAATAGCGAGTTGCCTGCTGCTCCATCCAGCCAGCCACACAAGCATCCGCCGGACTCCGCTCCAATACATCCGTGGCCGCCGCCAGACATTTCCTCTGCGCTCTGTACTCGTAATAATATCGCATGTCCTCTATTCAGAACCTCAACTCCTTCGGTGAGAGGCCCGTTATTTCTTCGTTCTAGCCGGGGAGGGAGGGGGGGGGGCTATGGTGAGTGTAGGATGGGTGTCTTCCCCGAATAACGGCTCTGTGTAAACACCGCCGCCATTCTCTGGAGTCACATACAGCCTCCATGGTGGGTCTGTTCTAGTGAGCTTTCACTCGGCCGCCTTCTCTCTGCTCTCATTTAATCCCCGTCCTTTTGTCTTTTGTACAAAATGGCGGCGTGTTGTTTTGTGAGGGCTGAGGTTATCTCTAGCACGCATTCACCTGTCATCACCCTTATCTACATACTTTCGGAAGTCCCACTTCAGGTTACAGTTGCCTAGTTCATGGTGGGGGGGTTCTCCATCTGGAATGGTTCATACAACATACTAGTCTGAGGCTTTTTATGATCCTTTTGGTTAAAGTGAGTGTCCAGGAACTTTCCAAATGGCCTATTTACTGCTCCAGACCTGGGGGGGATGCACTGTGCCTAATGAGAATAGAAGTGCCTTGTGTCAGAGGGTGTAATCAATTCCCTGGACTCTTGTGTGCTTAGGAGTAATAGAAATGGCCTAGTGTCTGGTCATATGGGAGAGGGAATAGTGCCCCATGGTTTGGTAGAGATGGAAGAGGGGGTTAATTACCCCACGGTGGGGGGAGATGGAAGAGGGGGCTAAGTGTCCCACCGGGTGGGGAGATGGAAGAGGGATAGTGGGCTGGCGCTTTGGGAGGGGGCAGTGGCCCAATGGCTGGGTAATTGTAATCTAAGTAACCCATATGAATTGCTTCCCACAGTTTCAGGACCACTGGCTTAAAGCAAGGGTGGATACATTAAAGCGACACAAAAACCCTCAGATTGTTTTCTCCTTATAGACATCTTCACAATGAACATCCTCCAAAGCCACATTTATTTGTTTTAAAATAAAGTCTTACTATTTTAATCCCTTTAGAAAGTCTGCTGTGCTCGCTCCTGTTGCTCTTCTCTCCCCTCACACTTCATGTTGCCTAGTAAGAGCTGTGCACGTTGATTCTGGTCACGTGCACTTTTTTTCTTTGCGTACAACTCCCATGAGGCCGAGAGGAATACTCGCTTCCTCTCCTCACTAAACACTGTTAGTGTCACTGCTTGAAATCTCCTCTGCAATGCTCTGAATTATCAAAACTACTTACAACAAATCTACAACAAACATCAAGTTTACAACAATCTACACAGCAAAACAACTTTATTTCAAATGTAGGAGCTGTATCCTCTGGTACTGTGTGGCCAGATTCAGCATGTGAGCTGAGACTGAAGAAAGTATAAGGCTGGGGACGGCTCACATGCTGAATCTCCTCACAAGAAGCTCACCCCACACCAGTTAGGCCAGGAGAGAAATCAAAGATCAAATTAGTGTGGGAGAGACACAGCCTGCTGCTGAAGAAATCCCAGCTCCTTGCAGAGTCTAGAGGGGAGGATTTGTGGGCAGAGACTGAAGACGCGTCAACACATTGTAATACTTTACCAGCACAGAGGGTGGCTACTCTTCAGCTCCTATAGGGACCATGGAGAAGAAAAGTAGCCACCCTCTGGCAGGAAGTTGTGGCTGGAGAAAAATTAAAACGGATGTTGGAGAATTTAGAGCTGGACAATGACAAAAAAAAGGTACCCAGTCATTTATATCATAGAAGTTATTTTTATTTTCTGATTTTTAGTGCCGCTTTAATCTGGAATTCAGCGGCCAGTCTGTCCAGTCCAGGAGTCACAACTAGAGAAATCTGAAAAGTTGTGTGCCAGTTGTCCTTACTAAGGAGCATTGGCTAACTGGCTCCTGGGATTTGTTTAGCCTCTGTTGCTAAAGTAATTCTTCCCTAAAAGATGAAACGAACCACTCCAGTGACATCCAACACTGCTTCATTGTTTACCTTGGTGTGTTTATTCGGGTGGGGACTAGCTGATAAGAATTTCTCTTCTGGGCAAGGTTTTCTGTACAAGTTAAAATGGTTTACCTTTTTGTTTTACAAATAGGCTTACGTAAACCTAGGAATATTTAGTATTATGCTGTTATTGTGAACACTAACCTAATGAAAGAATTCCATTTGCTAGTTTAGCTTTGCTTACCATTTTCATATGACTTTTAGTATCGTCATCTTTACTAGAGACCCTGTTTTCAGGCCATTTATTTTACCAAAAATCTTTCTCTAAGATTATATGTGGATTTCATCTATGTTATGCATGTTATCTACCTGTAAGGCCTACTTATGTCGATCTCCAAAAAGCCTCAACCTGCTGCTGGGTGCCCCCCATCTTTGATGTCAGCAGACTGGTCACTGAAATTATACTACTATAGTATTCTCCCTAGGCAGCTATAGTAAAGGTTATGTAGGCATGGCTGAAGATGTTGAGCCAGCACAAAAAGTAAATGCACTCCCAGAAGAGGGCTATGGTACTGCAAGGAGGGAGGGGGCTGGGCTATGCAATTGAGTCTTCTGGAATAGTCATATTTTTTAGCAAGTTCAAAGGCACAATGCAAGTGAATAATAAATCCTTTATGTAAATGAATGCACTGCATGCCAGAATTTCAGCTATTTGTTTTTTCAACCTGTAAGGTAATGGCAGGGTCTCTTTAAGGCTAGACACCCTTGCCAACAGGAGTTGGCTCCAAATTGTCTGTGTAGCCTGTCCTACAGATTATTTGCCCATGCAATCTGTAGTTGCTGAACTTGGCATTTTGTTGTGAATGTTGTACTGGATTTTTCTAGGCATGTAATAGGTGACGGTGATCTAACGTGCAATCATGTAAAAATTTTGGCATTGACCCTTGGGCCTGTGACTAGACTGCACTGGCTAAGCTACTTCTAGGGCTGAATATTGGACAATTATCTTGATTTTTAGGTTACCCCAAATGCCTTAAGCTGGCCATACACCTATAGATTATCTGCAGATTATTTTATGGTCCGATGCAAAAAGTGCAACAGGTTCCTCCATCTAAACTAAACTGTGTGGATGGAGGAATCTCCCACTGGGCCAAGCTTCAGTATCTTGCTAGTCCGCCCCTCTGGCTGTCAAAATACTTGATCAATGCCTGCATCCAATCAGAAATTTTACAGGTATTTTGAGAGCCAGCGGGGCCTACTAGCAAGATACTGAAGCTTGGCCCAGTGAGAGCTTCCTTAATCCACAGTTTAGCATAGAGGAATCTGTTGCACTTTCCATCTGACCATAGAAAATCTATAGGTGTATGGCCAGCATGTGTTTCTACTTGTGCAGACAAATTTGAGAAAACATCAATAGGTTTGTGTGTCCCCCCCCCCCCTTCCTTTTCTTCTACTACTGCATGTTGGACTGGTTTAGGAAACAATACTAATATTTAGGTCTGATGTATTTGTGTCCTGGGACTGCAAGCACAATCTCCTGCAGCTTTAGTCCTGATGGAAAACATAAAATGCAATCACTGGCACCCCTTTAAATCACATAGCTTTGTTATCTATAGTGTGTCGAGGTATGCAAGAGAGTAGGTGCTGTTTGCTTGTCCGTCAAATGCTTACCTAAAATAAAAACCAATAGCGCCAGAGGTGACCACTCCACTGAAGAAATATATATGCAGAAGTTCTACAGGTTGCTGCCTCGCATCAGTCAGGGAGACTAATATCTGATGAGAAAACAAACAAGGGGCGCCTTCCCTAGTGTAGATACATGTATATTTTATAAGTGGTAAAAAGTGGAATGATACTCAATAGAGTATGTAACATTGGGCCTTCAAATCAAAGGTTGAGCCTCAGTCATGGCAAAAACAAGAGCAGCATGAGAGAGCTGCACAAATGGTGGTTCCTATGTGACAGCGCAGTATGGCTGGGTTTACGTGTTTCCGGGGCCACACCCCCCTTCCTCAGAACATCAAATGCAATCACTGGCACCCCATTTAAATCACACAGCTTTGGTATGCAAGAGAAGTGCTGTTTGCTTCTGTCAAATGCTAACCTAAACCCAGATCTTGTTTAAAGCCTTAGCACTTTTAAGTTGTAAAAGGGGAAAGTGTGGAGAGCAATCTAGGGAATTTTGGAGGGAAAAGTGAGTGTTGTGAGGAGTTTGAAAAGCAGTCTTTAATCTAACATTTTAATCCACTTTTTTTTTTTCTCCTCCTGTCGGCAGACCCCTTTGCTGATGCAACTAAGGGTGACGACTTACTCCCGGCAGGGACTGAAGATTATATCCATATAAGAATTCAGCAACGGAACGGAAGGAAGACTCTGACAACCGTACAGGGCATTGCAGATGATTACGACAAAAAGAAACTTGTAAAAGCATTTAAGAAGGTAATTTAGTAACCTAATTCACATTGGATTTTTGGTTTGAAAGTGCAGATTTTTTTTCCCTCAGTTTGGCTGTTTGTAGTTACTGACTTTTTAGTGCTAATTTATAGTGATTTCTATCCAGGACACTGCATGTCCCTTGATTTAAAATATGGAACTTTATATCAAAAAGGTGTTGATCTGAACTGGCACAATTGTTGGGAGAGCAAGGTTGGGCATCAGTGTATAATATTGATTGGGAGCCTCTGCATTGTCATAGGATTTGAGACTTTTGGGCAGTTTTTAAACTTGTTGGGTACTACTAGAGTAGTGTGTTTTGAGACTATGTAAATGGTTTGTTAATGGGTAACTAAACCCAAGATGAAGTTACTTGCAGCTTACCAAACCTTAGATTTGATGGCTGCATTAGTTTTTTTTAATTTTTTCAGGCTAAAGTTACCAAGTAGACAACCTGACAATCCTGCTAAAAATTGTGTCCTTGTCACTTCCTGTGAGCTGTAATGATAAACCAGTTTTATTTATAAACCATTTATTTACGCATCTCATTTAATAGTGATGAACAAACAGATGTGTTGTAGTCCACCCTGGGTGGCAAACCATGGTTCCTTTTAAGCATTGACAGAAGTACAGCTACCCAGGAATGAAGAATGCTGATTACACCATGGCTTGACAAATTTGCTTTGAATTTAGGAGCCAGTAACTTTTTCATACCTGTGTGCACCCGACTTGTGTTTCCGTTAGTATGCGTGCGCTTGCAGGGCCTGGAGACTTACATTTATTTATTTTTTCTTCATTGCGATCACATATGATATTGTGATGTCTAGTGTCACCTTTCCACTTAATAGCTTTAGCTGGGGAATAACCGCTGCCTGTTGAGGCAGCTGAATTTAAACACAGCAGGCAGTGGCTGGGAGCAATAGCCAGCCTGCCATTGGCTATTTTAAATTGCAGTGGCCAATAGCAGGCTGGGTCTTGTACTCTCCTGCTGTCAATCAGGAGACAAGGGGCCTGAAGGAGAAAGTTCTCCTTCACATCTGTTCCTCTGCTGATTGACAGCAGGAGAGTACAAGACCCAGCCTATTGGCTACTGCAATTTAAAATGGTCAATGGCAGGCTGGCTATTGCCGACAGCCACTGGATGGTAGACTGGCAGGCAGTTTATCCTGCACAGGGGAATGCAGTCGCAGCAGATGACAGCCGGTCTCTCCTTCCCGCTGGGTCCCCTTTGATCACCGCCTGTATCAGCAAAGGGGGGGAAGACCACAGGAGGCGCAGAGTTGAGGGGGGACAGTGAGTGGGCTGACAAAAGCCCAGAATGCAATTTGTACTCGCCATGGCGACCTGGCGTCTGGGATTTTGTTGAATCCTAAATTATATGCTATGTTACCAGGTGGAAAAAGAAAACTAATGCAGCATCTATGAACTGGTAGCTGATGGATTTCTTTTTTGTGCGTGTTTGGAAACCTAGTGATTTTTGGATAGAATGGGAGATTTTAAGTTTTTCCATTTTTCTGGTGCCATTTAAGGAGAGTCCGATTATGGCTGTCTCCAACTTCCTTTCGCAATAATAATTTGTGTAGAGCTGCAGCTAACGATTAATTTCAAAATCAATTAGTTAGCCGATTTTATTAAGTTCAATTAATCGGGATGAAAAAATATGGCTCCAGTGATGGACTTCTAGTTTGTATTGAGATTGTAGTCCATCACAGGAGCAAGCTTCGAGCGGTGAAAGTAATAATAAAAAATAAAGTGTGGTGTGCAATATAGTGACATGGAAAGTGTAAAATTATACAGCAATGAATGCAGAATGGCACCGGTTATAGAGGACTACAAAACCCAGCTATAGTACATTATACAGCGCAATGCAGAATACCACCAGCTATAGAGAAATACAACAAATCCCAGCAATAGTCCATTATACAGTGGTCCAATGCAGAGTACCACCAGCTATTGAAGACTACAAAACCCAGCAATAGTACATTATAAAGCGCAATGCAGAATACCACCAGCTGTAGAGGAATACAACAAATCCCAGCAATACATTATACATACAGTGTATAATGTATTGCTGAGATTTGTATTCTATAGCTGATCGTACATTGTGCTGTATATTATACAGAGCTATGTACCATCAGCTTATAGAGGAATACAAATCCCAGCAATACATTATAGAGCACCATGTGGAGGGAAAGTGCAGGCTTACCTGAGCAGTCTTCCAGCAACTTGCTTCTGAGATCGGGCCTGTCGGCAGCTGTCATCCCCCACGCATGCTCCTCCTTGCTTCTCCCTGTGACCCTGTGCAGATCGTGGATGCGGGCGGTGATCGTGAGGCGGGGAGAAAGTGTGGCGCGTGGATGCAGGTGGGCGGATCTGGCAGCGTGAGGTGCAACGTGTGGAGCCGTGAACAGGGCCAACTATTCGAAAGTCGATTAATCGATGATTGAAAAAGTTGTCAACGCTTTCAATCGATTAAATTTTGTGTCCTTATCCACTCTACTAAAGCTTCTGGCTCTATCACTCATGCCCTTAGAGGAAGTCAGTAAAGGTTTCCAATAAAGACAGGTAGTCAAACAAAATGATTTGGATGTAGTCTTTAACTGAAATTCAGAAATCTGATGCTGGATACCAGTGTAAAGAATATTGTGCAGACATGTAGTGAAAGCAGCTCTGTAAAACAATTGAATACTGCAGAGATTTGCATGAAATTATTTTTTTTGCGTAATTACTACAAACTAATAGTGTTGACATCAGAATCTGGCACTTGAACTGTGTAATCAAGCTGCTTTTGTATCAATTTGTAGTTCTTGCCATGCGTTTCAGCTTGCATGTTCTGGTAAATGTTCATTTGAGTTTTGTGGTTTTTGTTTTTAGAAATTTGCCTGTAATGGTACTGTGATTGAACATCCAGAATACGGGGAAGTCATTCAGCTTCAGGGTGACCAGAGGAAAAACATCTGCCAATTTCTTATGGAAGTAAGTACTTGGTAATTTTAGCTATACAGATAATCCTCGCTTATCGACTTACCTGTTTTGCGACTTACGACCGTCCTCCAAGCGACCCCCGACCTCACGCGTCAGCGTCACTGCGACGTGTCGCCGGCGGAAGTGACGTCCTCCGATCTTCACTGCGGGTAGTGGAGTGGTCCTTAATTTACAAACCCCTTGCAAGTGTCCATGCTTGGGGTAGCTGCCAGTGATTTTCAGCTCTGGATAACTTTGATTAGGACATGTGTCTAAACTATTTTACATACCGAGAGCTGGTGGGAATCTGCCTTTTGGCGTAGGGATAAAATTTACCAAATTATGGCTTGCCTCATGTCTAGTTATGTCATTCAAAACATGTTGTTTTTTTGAACCTATTAAAATAGTAAGGCAGGAAAAATACAGCTGGCACTAGTTAATCTTTTTGCATTATTCCTGTTTGAGCCAAGGTAAGGATTTTGGCTTCTAGAACCTTAGTGAGAAAATTTAGCGTGCACGTTTTTGTAGCTTGTCACATGTTCTGAAACGGCAAAGTCTCAAATGATATTCCGGATCAGCAACCGCAAAATTAATCTGACTGCTCGTGCAAAGTCTGCCTAATTAGCTGGAATGTAAGTGAAGCATTAACCCCTTCGTGACTGACTACGTACAGTGTACGTCGCCAGCATCGGGGCTGTTTAAACAGACTCCCGGTGACTTTTGCCGCCGGGACTCTGTTTAAACTTGTAGAGCCGACTGTCGGCTTTACAACAGAAGCGATCCTGGCGACTTACCTGTCGCCAGATCGCTTCTGCGTCCCGAAGAAGGGGCCCCCCCCCCCGCCGGACACCCCCGCCGTGCTTCCCGGGCTCCGTTGCCCCTCCTACGGGCCCGGGACCGGCGATCTTTGTGTCCGCGGGGAGCTGGGGAGGAGGTCGACGAACTTCCGTTCATCGATCCCCTCCCCGTTCTATGGGACCGGGAGCGATGCAGATTGCATCACTTCCGGTCCCTGGGCTGTCGGTTCTGGGCTCCTGGAGCCCAGCTATAAGCTATTGAAGTGCGATCTGCACTTCAATAGCTTATTTCCAGTGTAAAGGTAACACTGGGGGTCTTTTGGACCCCCAGCATCACCTTTTAAAGAGTACCTGTCACCACCATCTGCTATCACATGGGGGGACTTGTAAGCCCCCCCATGTGATAGCAGTCAAAGTAAAGTAAAAAAAAAAAAGTTTTTTAAATAATAAATCTAATAAAAAAATGTTTTAAAAGTCCCCCGCCAGCACGCGCGTCGCCACGTAAAACGCGCGTCGGGTGCGCCTACGTATGAAAACGACGAACGCGCTACACATGTTGGGTAAAAAGCTCAGTACAGCTCGCGGTATACTGAGACGCAGCAGCCGGGGCGAATCCCAACTTTACTGTAGAGATCCACCCAGCTGCGTGATTGACAGCTGGCTCTGCCTATCTAGAGCCAGCTGTACCCTCCCCCGTCCGTTCCCACCAGTCAGCGCTGGAGGATCGGACCGGGGAGGGAGGAATCCCTGCAGGGAGCCGCGAGTGACGGTCACGGCTCTGCAGGGATGGATCGGGAAGTAAGCGAGTGATGCTTATGTGTTCGCTCACCTCCCGCTCTATTGAGCCGACCTGTGACAGTTTCATTGTCACACGTCGGCTCGAACTATGAGGCTGAGTGATTTTCACTCGCCTCATAGTTCTCTAAGAGTTGACAAAGGTGGGGTTAAACTGGATGCAAAGTTTGCAACCAGAATCTGAATGATGCAAGATGGGTTCAGCCTGCAGGAATTTTCCCAGCAGAATTTCCCATGAATTGATGCTGTACAACGGATTCCAAGAATCATTACCCACTATAGTGTTTGTGGTGGAGTAAGGCAGAATGAATAATTCTCATTTCTTTTCTACAGATTGGCATCGTGAAGGAAGAACAGCTGAAAGTCCATGGTTTCTGAGATGTGAATGATCAACCTTCCTGTGTTGCCTAGTCTGGCTACTTTGTGAAACATGAATCTTTGCAGCATTAGGACTTTCAACCTCTCTAAGCGTTCCAAATTAGGCCATTTTTTGCATGATTACCAAAAGTGTGTGAAGAATAGGTTAGTAACACATAAGAAAATAGCCGTAAGATGGTAAATTTGGAATAGTGAGTTTTAGCACGTTTCCAATGGAAATGTTTTAGTGATCTGTCAACTTTTTCCACTTTATTTGATGTTTTTGTTGTATTAAACGTGTATGTTGCTGCCTATTCTAGTCTGTCTTCTGTACATCTACTTGGTTAAAATCAAGCTGCTGTGGAGAAAATCCTTTAAACTTGCAGTCCACCCCTAGAAGCTTCCTAACATTCAGACATCTGAATTTTTTGACCACATTAACCCCTTCGTGACGGTAGACGTACACTGTACGTCCAGCCACAAAGGGACCAAATGACTTGTCACGTACACTGTACATGCAGCTCCTGACCAAGAAAAATCTTTATTGCCAACATAGTTTGTGTGCTGATCAGCCTACAGGCTAGCTGAGATTCCTATGGTCACTTGAATGCAGTTTCAGAGAAAATGAAGGTATTTTGGCCAGCTGGGTGACTGCACCTGCTACTGGGTATGGATGTGCCTGGATCCCTTCCTGACAGGGCTACATTGGCAACTTAAATGAATGGACAAAAAGTCCATGGCTGTAAAAAAAAAAAAAAAAAAAATATTGTATGTCGTGGAGACAAAATGCTGGGAAATGTGCAAGTACAGGAGCTAAATGTAGAGCAGGGGGAGCCGTCGCTCATTTAGTATAAGTGATCTCGGATCGCTCGTATAAAATGAGCAGCCATCTGGTCCGATTCTTTGCATGGTTAAATAGTTTTGGTTAAAATAACTTTTTTGCATCAGACAAGTAGATTGGGCACCCGCTTTAGTCCTTTAAAAAAAACAAACTACTTGTCCATCTCCACACCCCTAAACCAAAAGTGTGAAATACCATGACTAAAACATATATGTAAACGCATCCATAAACTGTTAATCATGATTGTAAACTTAGAATATTTTGTGGTCACATCATCCCTAGTATCGGAGGTGTGGCATCCCCCTGTTGCCATGGTGGCCTAAGTAGCGTGGAGAGTGGGGCAGAGGCATTAGCGTGCTCCTGAATGGGATCCAGGTACAAAGTGGCCCATGCGTGACCATAGCAGACCTGGCTCCGGGATCCCAAGCTGTCAAACAGCAGTGAGTGTGGTGACACAGAACTGTCAGCCACAGCCATTAGGAACACATTATATGAGTGGCACATAAACGGGAGGAGAAAGGACACGCATAATAAAGACTCTTCCCCACAAAAGGGGAAGAAACAGCTTGTATTGGGAAAGGTAAGCTTTTACCAACCAAAAGACCAGCAGAATCATAAAGCTGTATATCCATGTGGAAATAACATGAGGTACATGATGAGTATTAAATCATACAAATGTTGCAAAGAAATTAGTCAGTAAGAAAGCATGTATATGACCCCTAAGGATGAATCGTATTGAGTGTAAATCCAGTATGCCTCTCTGTATAACAGGTTATCACGCTTTATGCCCTGAGATGGTCTTAATACCTGTTCAATTACCATTGCCTGTAGCAATGGTCTGTCACACCCCCCCCTCTCTCACATTTGTTCAATAGACAACTTGACTTGAGCTGTGAAATTGTATAATCATGTCTCAGCTGGAGCTAAATTTAAAGGTTGTCATGGGGGCAGGAGATAGGCCAGCACAGACAGAGTGGATATTGCCAGAGGAGGGCACTGTGCTTGGGAATTTACTTTTCTGACATGGGCAGATTTCAAAACCAGTTCAGAGGCACATTTACAAATAGTGACTGCTGGAAATGTCACCTATCATCTAGATCAGGGGTAGGCAACATTGGCTCTCCAACTGTGCAAGTCACTGACCTGCAACAAGTGTTTAAGTTTGACAGCAATCTCCTTTTTGTTCAATACATTTGTTTTAAGATCTTATAAAATTCAGCACAAGTGTCCAAACATCTGTAACATAAGGTACTACTTGCACGGTTAATAAAGCAGGTTACACAGGATAAAGAATGTAAACAACTGGCATACAAAGATGTGGCTGATGTGTTGGGTTGCAGAGCAGGCATGTAAAAAAGTTTGCATTGCATGCCTTTGTATTTATACTACTGTCTCTTCTGAACTGTCTTGTGTACATTCTTCATAAAGGTGAATGACTGCAAAAGCACTCTTCTACCTCAGCAAAAGTAGCCTAGGCAGGGAAAAGTCCCTCTGAGTATGTGACGTGGTTTCTAGGGGCTAGAAATGGAGACTGACTCTATGCCCCTTCCCTGTTTCTAGACTCTCACCTGTCTGTGTTGCCACACAGCCTAAAAGCCCTCCTGCAGCTCTTGTCAATCCTTTGGCTCTGTGTTGATACCCATTTTCCTACTGTGGAAAGTTTTCAGGGCCTTCCATCCTTTTCACTGTTCCCTATTAAATGAGGGTATCTGCCCCAATTTGGGGTCTGCAGGTGCCATATGTATTTATTTAGGGGCCAAATTTCTCTTGAATCCGCTACAACTGTCATAGCCCTCTGTTTCAGGGAGACTGATAACCTTGTGACAAAAAAAAGGTTAAACAAACGCTGGACACAAAAACTTGCCTTTAGTGAGACAATTAGAAACCATAGACTACCATCTGTGCATAAAAGATCCCATGATGCTAACTTTTGTTAACCTCCTGTACATGAGGAAGCATACTTGCCTGTTTCCACTGTTTATCAAGCATATTAATGCCTAGCTCACTGTGGGCCTTCAGCGCTTCCAGTTTTGTGGCCTTTACACCAGTCATTGCAACTTGAGTGTCTCCAAGGTGTTGACCCTTGTGCTAGCCATGCTACATTCCTGGGGAATTCCCACTGTGGGCTATCTGAGGGACCCCAGTTGAGGGAATAGTTGGCATTGGTTTTGACCAACACTGTGCTGTGGGTATTCTGGTTCAGAAATCAGTGCTGGATCTGAATTATTGCCTGCAGTATCTGGGGTTCTTCCTAGATACTGCACTTTCCCAAGATTTCTTTCCTAGGCAAAACTTCAAACTCTGCAGTCCTGGTCCTCATCTTATCTGGGAATATATGGGAGGTCTGGGCCTTATTTTAGCCCCATTTTTAAGGCAGTTTCCTGTTTGCTTGGTTATGCTCTGGCCCCTCTGATTCATCCTTCTGTCCTAGGGGTGGGATCATTTCCTTCAGTCCCTAACTAACATGCCTGGCTTCGGGGTCTGGGTTATCTCTGACCTGGTGGCTTGGGAATTGGTTCCACTGATAGAAAGATCCTTCATCCTTTTTTTGGGGGGGGGATCCTCAGAATGGATGCCAGTTTGGCAGGCTGGGGAGGGGTCCTGTACACTTTGTCGGTGCAGAGGACTTGATCATTGAAGGTCTCTTCTCCCAATCAGAGATTCCAGCTTTTTGGTCACTCCTACAGTGCTGGATCTCTGGGATGGAAGGTCATTTGACATCGCCTGGGCGATATCCAACACAAAATATGTTGGACATTGCCATGGCAGTGGTGTACATCTACCATAATGGAGGGACCAGTAATCTTCCTATGGCAATAGAGGGAATTCTGTCCTGGGTTGGCCTTTCTGTTCCAGTCTTGTCCAGTTTACGCCAAGGGACAAACATTTGGCAGATGCGCTTCCTTGGCCATCAGTGCCTGCTTTGGGGGAATGGGCCCTACCTTGGTGATGTCTAAGATTAGACAATTGCTGCATAAAATCGTCCCCAGGTGCTGAGCTCCTCTGACAGATGCAGTGCTTGTGTGGTAGCATGGGATAAGTAAAACCTTGCTCTTTGCCATTCCTCCCCACTTCATCTGCTTTGCGGGATTGAGATGGAAGTCCTTCTGGTGAAATTTGGAACTCTGGCTTGGCCCAGGCAGATGTGATTCACTGACTTGATCAGACTGCTGATGTTTACTTTGTGGGCTCTTTCCCATCCGTCTACAGCATAAACTGATTTACCATCTTTCTTGTGGTCGCTGCCTATAAAGGCTGGAGTCCAGGTCATGTAGGGCTGGGACATTTGCTGGTCCTATACAGAGATGTAGTGTTTTAGCCTTCTCTTTATGTGGTCTCAGCCTTTCATCTCCACCAAGACGTGGTTCCCCCATCTCTGTTTCAGTGCATTAGAGGGACATTTTCTCTTCCTGTCTGTTTTTTGTTGTTGTGAGGATTTCCCTTGGAGCCAATGCTTCCATCCATGGACTGACTCTTTCTGAGCTTGCTGGAATGGTCCTAGGTCCATTTATCCTGTTGGAGCTGCCTTGCATGTTACTCAGTCAAGAGGACCTCTCTTCCGTATCATGTGAGTCTTATAGGCACCATTGTACTGTTCCTGCTGTATGAGAGTTGTTTTGTTTTTCCCACTCCTTGAAAGACACTGCTTTGGGATGTCCCAATTCTCAGAGATCGATCCCCTATGGGGTTTTATGTAATAATTGTCAGAGCTCGAGATATCATCTTAAAATCCTGTTCTCTGTGTTCAATGAAGGACATAGCGCCTGCCCCTCTGGTTGTTATGTCTGTCACCAGTTCTCTGTACTGACCTCTCTGTACTGGTTTGTGAGTCACAGAGCTGTCTCTAGCAGTTGGTGGGTTTGACCATCATCAGGGGCAAGCCTTAGTCTGTGTTTTTTGTTTTTCTGCCTAGTGTCCAACTCCTGAAGGTGGAGCTATAAACCCAGTGGTTAGAGATCAAGATCTCCACTGTGTCCTTCAATGAAGTCAGAGAAAATGATTTTACGGTGAATACAAAAAATCCTATTTTTTTTCCCAAATACATGACCTTCAAAAATCTATTTTTTTAATCATAGATTCAATTTTGTCTGAAGATTGTTATTGAGCTATTCTTAAGTGCCAAATAAATATGGTTGTTTATGTGGACAAATATTAGATAAGCATGCAAGAGTCTGATGCCACTCAGAATTATGTAATGTGGAGGATGGTGTTAAACCCCACAAACCTGGACCTTCATGTCTCAGTTCGAACAACCTTGTAAGGAATTCACTACAAGAGAGCCACCACACTTCTGTCTGAAGGAGCATGGTAGCGAGAACACTCCTCCCTCCACA